GATTTATATGCAAAGGTGGTACTCTCTTTAGGTTTTCAATGAAACAGATCCCAAACTCAAAAGACAATGAAAAAATTAATGTAATACTTCTAGCTCTAATTACAAATCAAATACATCAAATATTCATATGTACATAGAGATAACAAACTGAATTTTCTAGGTTCCTTGATTTCACTATAGAATATCCCAGATTAATCTGGTAAAGTTATAGCTAGAACTACAGCTTACTGAAAACATAATAACAGTTACCATTTCTGAACACCTGTATACTTTTTTGTTTTCTATTTTTAAAAAAATATATTTTATTGATTTTTTACAGAGAGAAGAGAGAGGGATAGAGAGTTAGAAACATCGATGAGAGAGAATCATCGATCAGCTGCCTCTTGCACACCCCCTACTGGGGATGTGCCCGCAACCAAGGTACATGCCCTTGACCGGAATCGAACCCGGGACCCTTCAGTCCGCAGGTCGATGCTCTATCCACTGAGTCAAACCAGTTTTGGCTTGTTTCCTATTTTCATAAAAAGATTCAGCAAAGGCAGGTTTAATCAGAGAGGTGAAGTGATTTGCTCAAGCTCATCCAGATAGTTAATCCAGAGAAATGGGGCACAGGCCTAGGTCTGCTGTTTCCACAGTTTCCAGTATAATTATATCACTGCAGCTGTCAGTGGGTAATTTGCAAGTTAGAGGTTGCTATGCCCTAACTATAGAAAAGGCATTGTTTTGGCAGAAGCATATTGTGTATTATCTGTTTAGTAATAAATTATTTTAATGTTAAGTAAATGAAAAATAACACTGTTGGCTAATTATAAAGTACCATTTTAATGGAAACACAAAAATTGTTATATAAAAACTGATATTAGAGGTACAATGTCTTCAGACTCAAATGGCTACTCAAACCTTTTTAAGGGAAACATTTCATTAACTCAATAGTCTATCTAAGTAACCTTCAAGTATTTTCTGACAAAATAACCTGTTTTTTATGATATAATTTCATTTTAGAGCTACAAAAAAGAATGTGACCTATAAAATAAAGTTTATAATGACTTCATAAAAAGAGATATCAGTAGTTGGGAATTTGTGGAGCAAAAGATTTAGAGACTAAATAACTTCCATTTGGTGATGTCATGTTGTTTTTTCACAAACTTTTTTTTTAAGATTAGCACAAAATATTAAAATCCTAGTATTTAGACATTCACTGTATGAATTAAGAACAACATAAAAAATATCAAACATCCTGTGAGCTTGCAAAACAAGGAAACCCAACCCTTCTGATCACCACATTCTATTCCTCCATAAGTGAGTGAAATCAGGACAATAAAAATTATTTAAATTTTTTTTGTAAGTTATGTTGAAATTTAAATCTGTGATGAGGTAAAAATATTGTTTTAATTCAAAGATAAAAGATCAGATAACAAAATGATCACATCATTAACTGTTTTCTTGGGTCCATTACTTGAGTGTGAAAGGCTAATGACATTGTTTTTTATTTTTGGACACACCTACATTCATTTATGTCACACATTTCATTCTGAGAGGTACCATTCCCACATTGGTAGGTTTTCTTTATTATACATGAAATTTAAAAATGAGTTTATTGGGATGAAAATGGAGAAGAGACATTGAAATCTTTTTCAACAAATATACACACAGATTTAATGCAAATGAATTTCTGATATGACAAAACTAAGGAGTTATTTGATATTTATTTTAAAATTAGTATTTTATGCTGCATTTGCCTCAGTAAAGTTATATATAGCAATCCTTTGAACTATCAAAAATCACACTGTATTTTTCATTTGTATATTCAACAAATATTTGAGTGCCTCCTATTTAAGGCACTGTGACTTAAACCTACTATCAAACTCTAACTTTCTTGAGATACAAGAAACAATAATATAGAAGAATAATGCTTATAGCACTTTTTTTTTGGTGATAATAGCAGGTACTCAATAAATATTTGTTGAATGAAATCAGAAATAAGGAAAATTTACATATTGAGTTTTATAATACAAACAGTTTAGGGCTGCTTAACTATAAAGAAACAATTTTATTCTCTAAATTTTCCTTAGGGAGGGAAATGATATTCCATTCACTCAATTTAAAAATTTAGAACAAGGAGCATTAAGTGTTCTTAATAAATATAAAATGTACTTACATTCTCCTATGTTATAGTCAGTACAAGGAGGAATCTCATAAAGTAGAAAGAAAATGTGGAACATTAAAAAAAAAGTCAAGAGAAATTAAGAGATAGAGGGATCATGGAAAGAGAAGGTGATAAAGTCATGTGTGCAAAGACATGGAGTGATATAACAAAAGAATGAGAGAGATCCACAGTAATACCAAAACTATAGAAAGAACAAATCATTAAACTTTCGGTCAAGAAATGTTATTGACTCACCCCAGGTGGCTCTAGACTTGTAGGAGAGTTGGAATTATAGACAACACACTATTGCAATTCAAATGTAATACAAAATCCACTGTAAACCTTAGGGGGAAGCAAATAATTGCGTGGAAGATGCAGGGAAGACATAGAAATGATGTTTGGCTGAGTTTTAAAGGTTGAGATATATATGGAACTGGTATCCAAGGGTGAAAACGTGGGTAGAAAATTGATTTACATGACTGGAACATAAGATGAATATATAACAGTGTTGGACAAAGAGAAGCAAGTTATACATGAAATTTAAAAATGCGTTTAACACCATTTTAGACTCCTACTACTATGTGCTGCCATTAATAAGAAAAGTAGATCAAATAAAATATAATCTCTGAGAAAGGAGTCCAGTTAAAGGTGTTTTTGAAAAGCTTACTTGGAGATTCTAAAGTGCTGCTATTGTTGAGAATCACTATAATAAGTGACTGGAAGTCAGTGAATATTTTCAGTGAGGAATTAGCATAATGAGATTTTTTTAAGGAAGATAACTCTGGCCTGGATAGTGCAGAGAGAATGAGTGTGTGGGTGTTTAAATACTTTGAAGAACTGAATACCAGTAGAGTCTATTATAATACACATGCTTTCACAGAAAAGACATGGCATAGACATACTAAGGAAGAGACCATTGTTATACTAGTGTTGAGACTATTTGAAATACTTAGGCTAAACTGTTATCAATGTTATAACCAAGAGTTATCTGATTTGCATATTATCTGTTTTATTTGCCAGATACATCTAGTGAACTCAAGGCAAAGGCCCTGTTTGGAGCTTGTTTTAATTCCCACTTCAAATGCCTTCTGAGAATCCACTATTTATAGATACTTATAGATAATTTTCTTTTGTAACCTAAAGAAATTATTAGTAAAAGATACCCATTATGCCCATTTTTAAATCAGATGAAACTGCTTTAACTTGTTTTGGAGGTCACACTAGCATTCATGAATATTATTCTATGCTTGTGTCCCTTGTTAAACTGTAAGTATTTATCAGTTGAATGGAATGAGTAATTAAAAACTCATTAAGAAATCAAACTTCAGTGCTTTCTATATTCTTTTAGAAGTTATTTTTATTTTTCTCATTAACAACTATTAATTTGCATAAGGTGGCATTTTTATTTGTCAGGTAATGTCTAACTTTAAAGACATTTCAAAAAAAATAATTGGGTGTACTAATTTCTCTGGGTTGTTAAAAATTATTTATGTAGCATATACATGATCTATAATAGGCAAATATATATGCCTTTGGTATAAATTACTTTATCTAGAAAACAATGATTGATTTCAATTGAACTTTACCAGTGCTATCAATGAACTTAGTATTAGTTCTTTATATATATATATCCTTTGAAAAAAAATATATCTCCAGTGACTCATCTCAGGAAAGAACTCATCTAAAAGAATATTTTTCATTCATGTGACAATAAAAATTGTGTTTTCTAGTTATTATAATTGGCTGCATTACTTTAAGACAGTATCTAGTATTCCCTGAAGTATCTCTCTTAGAATTTGATCAAAGGCACTCAAAAAGTTTCAACATATGGTTAGTCTATTATGCTTCACTGAGTAGAGTAAGAAAATAATACTTCTCTCTTTTTATCCCTTCCCTACCTCTTCTCTTCTCTCCCTCCCTCCCTCCCTTCCTCTCTCCCTCCATTTTTGGCTTCTTGGATTAGAGAAGATGTTAATAAGAATCTCTAATCAAAAGGAACATTTTGCAATAAAGATATTATTTCACCAGGGTTAAAGGTGAGGAAACTGAGAACCAGTAAAGTGACTTTCCACATGCTTTCAAGTAAAAAGTGGAATTAGGCCATCAACTCTTCTGACTTCCCATTTCAATTCATAATATCTTACTAGAGGACAATTCCCAAAAGTTAGTAAAAAAACCAAAAAAAAACCCAACTATAAACCCCACAATACTATTGTCATAAAAGTATGGCTCTACTTAATAACTTCTTTAGAGATTTATGTCCCCAGACTGGGAAATAGTCTTATATATGAGCTACTTTTCCTAGTTTGAGGAACATCAATCTATTTAAAAAATTTAAACTCCTTTTCTCTATGTATTTTTTGCATTTAAAAACTCTTGAAAATCTGTTAAAGGTTATAAATTTCCTTCAAACAAAAATGTATATACACTCATGTAGACAAAATTTTGCATACCATTTGAAATGTCCATTTAAAAAATAATAATAAAGGAGACAAAAGGATCTGCCTAGAAGGAATATATATAATAGCTTTCTTAGTATTACATGTAAGATTTTTTTCTCTCTAAAGCAGATATGGAATAATATGGATAAGATGATGTTTACCTAACCATAAATTTTAGTACTTTTTCAATCTTGTAAACTCTTAAAGAAAATATGTGTACACAAAACACTTAAAATTCTGATTATACCATATAAATGAAAAAAGTTAAAATCTCACAATTTTTTCTGGAATTTATACAATATGACATGAATGTAAGGTTTTGAGAACATTGTAAGAACTTGAGACCTCATAATCCTGATCCAAACAAAAACAGATATACCACAACACTTAATTTTTAAAAGTAAAAATGAAATTCACTTTTTATGAAAGAGAAGATGTTTCACCATCCCTGCCAAGATTTTGGGTAATTGTGCAGCAATAACTTCAGACATCATTTCTGGAAATTCAACACTCAGTGCCCGGGACTGGATAAATGTATTCAAGCAGTACAGATGAAGTTGTTTAACAAGCTGTTGGTTTAACAAATGGAAAAAAATATGTAAGAAAAATAGTAAGTTCGTATACTATTCAAGCATGGCAACTTATTTTCCTAACAATATAAATACTCGCCACAATGTTTGCTTCTTACCAAAATGAAAATAACTAGCTCCACTCTTTAGAATATATAAAATGTCACACACTGTGTAATGTTATAATAGTAAAATAAGATTTAAAAAAAATAAGCAGTGGAGGGGAAAATGTGCCCTGTCCCGGAGCAGATAGAAAGAGCAACTTAAATTGACCACAAGACCTCAAATAGCTAGAAAAATCCTGAGAAAGAACAAAGCAGGAGACTTACACTTCCTGATTTTAAGCTATACAACAAAGTTGTAGTGATAAAAACAGACAAATAAACCAATGGGACAAAATCAAGAGCCCAGAAATAAACCAGAGTATGTATAATCAACTAAATTTTTAAAAATCCTCACTTGAGGATAGGTTTATTAATTTTAGAGAAAATGGAAGAGAGGAAGGGAGGATGGGAGAGAGGGAGAAACATTGATGTGAGAGAGAAACATTGATAGGTTGCTTCTCATATATGCCCTGACCAGGTATGGAACCCTAGATATATGTGCCCTGACTGGGACTGAACCTACAACCTTTTTTTTTTTTTAATGCACTTGGAGATTGTAATAATCTGGCCACTCAGTGTGTGTGTGTGTGTGTGTGTGTGTGTGTGTGTGTGTGTGTGTGTACTAGAGGCCCGGTGCATGAATTCTTGCATTGGTATATATAATAAAAGAGGGGAAAAAAGCATTTCTCCTTGTAATGAGAACTCTTAGTTTCTACTTAGTATCTTAACTTTTCCTGTATATCATACAGCACTGTTAACTATAGTCATCATGTATATAACATCACTAGTATTTATCTTGTAACTGAAAGTTTGTACCTTTTTACCACCTTGCTCTTCTTCTGTCCACCATTTTTCCAGTCTGGTTACCAGAAATCTGATCTTTTTTCTATGAGTTTGGTAGGTTCTTTTTTATTATTATTATTATTAGATTCCACATATACTACTAGTAAGTGAGATCATACAGTCTTTGTTTGACTTATTTCACTTGTCCTAGTGCCTTTATGGTCCATCCACATTGTTGCAAATGGTAGATTTCTCAATTCTTTTTAAATGGCTGAATGATATTTCATTATGTGTATATTTTATATACACATGCCATCTTCTTTATCTATTAATCCATTGATGAACATACAATCTCTTTCAACTTTTTTATTCTATGCTTTCAAAATTTATCTCTGTATTTCTAATACATTTTGTTTTCCAAATTTGACTGTGTTTCTACTCTGAAAAATATTGATTTTAGTTCTTATACTACATATCTCCCTCCTTATTTTCTTTACACTCTATTCTCTTAATTGCTATCTCAGTTTTTGGCTAAATCAATATCCAACATTTACATTATAAAGATTTTTATTGTTTCCTTCTATATTACATTTTATTTCATATATGTATTACTTCTCTATTCTAGACTAATGATTACTTAGCACAGTTAGCACACAGATGTATCCATTTGCATCTTTCTTGAATTTTAGGATATTCTCTTTATTCCTGATAGGCTGAAATTATATAAAAATGTGTGTTGGTTCACTTGTACTGTGTCTGTACATGGACTCTTCAGATAACTAATATCCTTCAGTTTCAGCAACTTTTCCTTTATGATTTCCTACATAAGTTTGTCTTCTTGATTTTCTCTATTAATTTTTTCCCCCTGGAATTTCCTATTATTTGGAGACTGGAACCCTTTGGACTAATTCCCTAAATTTACTATCTCATCTCTATAATTTTTCACATCTTTATATATTTTTAAAAATTTTTTTTCCCCCTGTGTGTTTCCTGAGATTCTATTTCAGCCCATTACATTTTTAATTTCTGGTTTCTTTATTTAATTATCCAAAAGTATTCTTTTACACAATGATCCTTTAAAAAAATTTTTTTTTGTAATTCTTGTTTAATGTACACAGTATCATCCTTATTTTTCTGGATATCTTAATTTTTTAAAAGCTTTCTAATGTCCTCTGCACTAGTACTTTTCCTTTAAGTTACTTTTTTATTGTTGTTGTTTATATATTGGGTCTAGTAATACTTAATGTCGTTTTTTAACATTCGTTTAAAATCTTGCTTGGCATTGACTTGTATTGACATAACCTTCAAACATGTGGTATCTACAGAACGTGTGAAGTGCAATTAACCAGTTTTGCTTGAAAAAGTTTGTGTTTGGTTTGGTTTTTGTTGCAAAACTAGGGCTAAGAAGATGGCGGATGAAGAGCATATTTGGCACTGCATGCTTTACGAGTTCCAATTAGGAAGAAAAGCAAGTGAGGCTGCAAAAAACATCTGTAGTGTTCTTGGTCAAGATGCAGTTAGCGCCAGAAAATGCCAGCGTTGGTTTGAGAAATTTCGCGAGGGAAATTTTTCGTTAGATGACAAGAGTGGTCGAGGCCGTGTGTCCAATTTTGATCAAGAAGCTCTTCAAGCTCTTTTGGTGCAAAGTCCTCAAATTACCCAACAAGAGCTTGCGACAACTTTAAATTGTTCACAAAAAACAATTTCCAATCAATTGCGTGCACTTGGCAAAGTCCAAAAGTTTGGAAAATGGGTTCCTCATGAGTTGACCGACAACAACCGTAATCAAAGAGTCACAATTTGCAGTTCGCTCCTCTCTCGTCAAAACCGTTAGCAGTTTTTAGAGCAAATTGTTACCGGAGATGAAAAATGGGTGCTGTATGTTAATTTGAAAAGGCGGCCTCAATGGTTGGACAAAAATGAGGGTCCGCAGCCCACGCCAAAACCTGACTTGCATGCGAAAAAAGTGATGTTGTGTGTTTGGTGGAATTTTAAAGGAATTCTTCATTATGAACTTTTACCATCTAACCAAACCATTACAAGTGCAGTGTATAGTGCCCAATTGGAAAGGTTAGCCCAAGCTTTAAGAGAAAAAGAACCCGCGCTGATTAATCGGAAGGGCGTAATTCTTCACCACGATAACGCACGACCGCATACTGCAAGAATCACTGCTGAAAAACTGCGCCAGTTGGAATGGGAAGTTCTCCCTCAACCTGCATATTCTCCTGATATTGCCCCTTCCAATTACCATTTGTTTCGTTCTTTGCAAAACTTTCTTCTTGGAAAAAAATTTAATAATGAAGAATGCCTCGAAAATGCATTGACCGAAATTTTTGCATCAAAATCACAAGAATTTTACAACAGAGGGATTAAAATGCTTCCTGAGTGTTGGGCACAAGTAGTAGAAAACAACGGCAACTATATTGTTGATTAAATTTTGTTGTATTGTTTAAATAAATTCGATTTAAAAAAGTATTAGAAAACGACATTAATTATTACTATACCTAATAGCTTTATGCCCTTTATTTTAGAGCCTTTACCGAAATGGCTAATAATCCTTAGCTGTCTGATTATATTCAAGGTAAAGTTTCAAATATGACCTGGTGGATGGATAGCGTCTTTTATGCCTTGACTGTCATTCAGTGTGGTTTCTGAACATAGCCCCAAGAAAAGCTTGTATTTACTATGTCTCCACTAACCACATAAGTCTTGTTTTAGTAATCGAGTCCTAGGGTTGGGAATTTCTAGGTTTTCTTTGGCTTGCATAAAAAATACTTCAGTGAACTTCCTTGCATAGATATCTTAAATATTTGTCTAATAACTTATGTAAGATAAATCCTAAAGAGTTGAAATTTGATAAGCACAATATCAAATTAAAAATTTTGCTATACACTTCCAGATTGTTCATCAGTATCATGTGGTGGGGATTCAGATTGAGTCACCTAGGATGTGCCTAGATGGCATGTAGATTATTTTGAGCTAAAGGCAACCGAGACCTTGCAGGTCAGGTGAAACTTCTGCACTCCCCACCCTTAACTGCCTAGAAGAATTTAAATTAGTGGTTTTGCCCATAATAAGAAATTATAGATATAACCTTTTTGGCCTATGTATATGGCAGCACAACTACTAATTACTGATCCTCTGCTATTCTAATTGTTCTTCAGTTACCTTCCTCTCCCCTCAAGCCCCAGGCACCTCATCGTTGGCTCAGAGTGCCATCTACCCCTCATTTTAACTTCCTCTCTCTGGACCTCTATTGTATGTGGTGTCTCTGATTTTCTCATGCATGTGGGATTACTGTCCCTTGTTATCTGTCTCATGTATAATATATTTAATTATTAGACCAGCCAAAAGAATCTTGAAGGATAGAGGAACATTTTTTCCTCCTCAATTGTTATTAACATAATTCCATCAAAAGTGCTATGATATTGTTTATTTTGCAAATCCATACTTTTGTTTTTTCACATAAAAATATTTTAGAACATATTCAGGAAAATCTATCACAATACCTATCTATCATTATCAGATTACCCTCAAATTATAGAAATACTAGTAAGAGGATATTTAGGTGATCTATATAAAAAATGAACAAAGCAAAATATAAATTCTGAGCAATAAGATGCAAATAGTGTTTTAAAGCATAATTACAACTATAAATTTAAGGAAACCATATGACGTAAAATTTAGATTTAATATTTAAAAAGTTATAAAAATTCAGAAAATATTCATTGATATTCTAGAGAATGAGATACTTACATCATGCAAGTTATCAAGAAATTTTGTAAGATGGTAGAAACGTTGTGAACTAGAGACAACTCCTTTTTGCCTCAAACCAATTGCCTTGATGAGCTCTCTAATGTAGCTTGCTCTCATTTCTTCAAACTGGTTTTGACTTCTTAGGCCTTCCAGAGGAACTGTAGAAAGGCAATTACAAGTGTCAATTATGTTTAAGAGGATGACAAAAGTGGTTTATAAAACAAATTTTGGACTATGTGATGATTTTTTTATATGTAACTTTATACACAACATATTAAATAAGAAATAGCGTTACCAATACTTTTAGGACATATTAACTACCAGTTCTTGGAAGAATATAAGAACAAGTAGGTAAAAAAAACACACACACATTTCAGCTTACCTATTTTAGAGCTGCATCAATTGTATTTAAATTAGAACTTGCTTAAAAGAGCACCTGACAGTATTCTATTTTTTTCTGAAATACTTGGTTTGATTAAGTTTACAACAGCATGTAGTCTTTTTCTTTCTTTCCTTTTAACAAATACTTGGACTTCTCTGTGAAGTCTTGTGTTCTATGGATGAAGAAGGAGTGCTGTAATAAATCTAACAGAAGAACCTTACAGGGTGATCTGATCATAAATTCCTAACTGGGCAGGTCAGAGTGAGTAGTCACGTCCAAGTCGATGACTTCCTTGTTGAAAGGTTGTTAAGCCAGGCCTGTCCATTGTTCGTGGGCAACAACCTTAGCACACCTTTGAAATGCCAGAATTAATCCTCTTTTTCAGACACTTGGAAGGTGTAACCACCCTCAAGACAGCACATAATCATAACTGTCCTGTAATCCAATCGTTGTCTTGCTTTCTCCCACCTTCATGCAATCTTCCTTACCTTTCCTCCTTAATTCAAAAGAAACTGCAAACTGTCATTCTCGGGAGCATTGAAGATTTGCTTCCCAGCAATTGTCATTAGTTTGGCTCAAATAAACTCTCGTACAGCTTTCTGTACATTTGGATGTTTCTTATGTCAGTATCATATAAGTCTCAAGTATTTCTCATTAAGATTATTCCTGCATAGTTTATCTTTTTTGTTGCCATTTTAACATTGCCTCAGTAAAGTTTCTAACTCTTTCCTGGTAATACGGGAGAAAACCATTGCTATTTGAATATTTCCCTTATATCCTGCCACTTGATTATATTGTTTTTATATTTTTAACGTATATTTTAATTCTAATTTTGGGGTTGATTACCTTTTGTTTTCTTGGTATACAACAATGCTATATTCAAATAATGCCTTCATTTTCCTCTTTCCAGTACAATCATGTACCACATAATGAGGTTTCTGTCAACAACAGAGGGTATATACAATGGTAGACCCATCTATACTAATAAAAGGGTAATATACTAATTAGATAGAGAGACCTTCCGGATTTCTTTCTGGACAAAGCCATAGTGGTGGGGCTGAGGCAGAGGAGGTTAGGGGAGAACAGGCCAGTGAGGGAGGAGTTGGGGAAGTTGGGGGCCAGCAGGCAGAGTGGTTAGGGGCAATCAGGCTAGCAGGCAGACATCCCCTTAGGGGTCCCAGATTGGAGAGGGTGCAGGATGGGCTGAGGGACACTGCGCTCCATGCACGAATTTCTTGCAATGGACCACTAGTAAGATTATAATAGAGCTGAGAAATTCCTATCACCTAGTGATGTTGTAATGCAATACATTATACAAATACTTAACCATTGTGCTATAATTACCTATAGTATTTAGCACAGTAACATGCTATATAGGTTTGTAGCCCAGGAGATATAGGGGAAGAATCTGTCACCCCAAATATGTCTATTTGGTATAAGAATTATTTTAGGCTGGTTAATTTTAAGAAACAGCAGACATAGGAGAAACTCTGAAAACCCAGTAGAAGTTACTCTTTGTAAAAGGTATTTACATTTCTAAGGGACATCTCCGAAGGGTGTCTTCTGCTCTGTATCAGGAAGAGGGGGGTGACATTATTTCTAGAAACTCTTATCAATGCAGAAGACAGTGACTTAAACCTTCCTAACAACCTTTCCCTTGTTGACTATACTTTTCCTGTTAACCTCCAATAACTACATCCCTTCTACCACAAGCTTCTTTTGTCTGCAGCTGAAGATGGAATTTAAGGTGTGACTTCAGCTATTTTGGCAAATTAAGTTTTCCTAGGTCTCTTTCATATATTCAGGAGGATACACGTTATTACACTTCTGTTTTTCTCCTGTCATTTATCACAGGGATGTCTCAGCCAAGAACCAAGCTGAGTAGAGAGGAAATTATTTTTACTCCCTTACAGTAGGTTAGATCCCATATAGCCTAGGTGTGCAGTTTGGGGAAGTGCGCTCTGTTTTCCCATACATGATGAAATCACCCAATGTCCTTATCAGTAGTGCATGACTGTAGTTGTAGCTCTTATTTTTGCTTCATGATTCAGTGCATTGTTCAGAACTTCCAGAATAGTAAATATAACAGTGATGACAAATGCTCCTATTTGTTGCTGATTTTAATGGAAATGGCTCTTATTATATGTTAGCTCGTAATTTAGATGTGTACCTCTGAAATCTTTAATTCATATATCTAGAGTCTAGGCACAACTTCCTGTTCTTATGGCTAAATCTCTTATTTCCATTGTCAATTTACCTACATATTTTTTCTTAAATCTCTAGGTCCTGTTGCCACTTGTCTGAGATGCCCTGGCTGATTTCTTCTTTTGTATTTTACTGTTTTCTCTTGCTAGATCTCCAACAATGTGGGTGTCAGGTCTCCTTGATTTTGATTTCCCACAAATTTTAGTATTTCACCCTATTTTTAAGACATTTTTCAACTTTGTCTTCCAATGCCTATACTGACTTTTAAATTCTTCATATACACATAAATAATTTTAGTTTTCAACAGCTCTTTCCTTTTCGTGTTATTCTTTTTTCATAGTATCCAGTTCTTAATTTCATGGGTACAATATGTTCTTATCTTTCTCAGGAGGGCTTAACTTCTATTTTTCTGAAGTTTTACTCCGTGGTTTTTGTTTCCTTCAAGTTTCCCCCCCCCCCCCCCCGTTTTTCCTTTGTCTTTGATGTCAAAAGTATCCCTCATTGTTTATTTATACTCAAGAGTAGAAAACTAAAAAGCTGATTGATATATTTGAATGGGTAGTGCTTACTGACTGTGAACTTCATTGCAGGGATATCTGGCTGAGGTATTTCAAAGAGAAATCTCTGCTATTATTTAGTACATTTTCTTTCTGGCTAAACAATTTCTGCAGAGAAGAAATTTTCATTCTCCATCTCTGGAGGATATAAATTTGGAAGGCAAAGTTCTGGGAGATAGGTAAAAGAAGTATGCTGTCTCAATATTTGGCATATAATCATAATCTGTTTCCAACATGGAAACTCTCATGATCAACAGTACCTGTGGTTTACCAATAGTTTTTTTTTTTTTTTTTTTTTTGTTCTATCCTCTTCAGGGAATAATTTACAATCTATGTTTGAGTTGGTAAGAAACACAATTGGCAGAGCTCTGATTTTAACTCTACCTTCACTCTCCTTTCAAAAATTCATAAATGCCACCAACTGAACAACATGCCAGAGGTTCAGTGATACAAATAAAGGCGCTTCTTGAATTTTCTTACTTCTGGCTTAGGTATGCTAAATTGGTTGTGCTTGCTAACTTAAAAAAATTTTATTACTATTGATTCGTGTCTCTCATTCTCTTTTCATTTTTATTTTTAAAGATTCCATTGCCAATATTTTCGTGTAGTTTTAAAGGAACTGATGGAAAAATGTATGTGTTCAACCTGCCATATTTTCCTGAAGATCTGAATTTTAGTCTATAATGGAAAATGGGAGGCTTAAATTCTTATGCATCCAATTATCAAGCTTTCCTTTTGCCAACTTACTTATTGCATTTTTAAAAATGTTTCTAAAAACTGATTTTTAGAAAGAAAGGAAGGCAAAGGGAGAGAGAGAAACAGCAATTGGCTGCCTGCTGTACATGCATACACCCTGCCTAAGGATAGAGCCGGAAATCCAAGCATGTGCCCTGACCAGGAATCAAACAACCTTTCAGTGCAATGCCCAGCCAACTGAACGGATCACTGCATTTATTTTTAAAAAGATATTCCTTATTTAAGATTTCAAATTAATTTGGGAGATAATATAAGACCATCTATGGCAGAACTGATTCATTCTGTCGAGAAGGGTAGAAGTTAACTGCTGTAATATTAAATTTATGCCATTTGACTCTCTTGGCCAGTCTCATATCAATGATTTTAGTCCACTTTATGCACTTTATCAAATTAGGCTTGAAAATCTTTGCTCCAATGGGTTTTTAAGGGGGGAAAATAAGGCTATAAATCCTTAGATCCTGAATTAAATAAATAAATCCAAAGCCCCTGTCTTTGCAATGATTTCATGAAGAAAACTTCCTTTTTAAGGGTTTAGCTTTTCTGCCTTTACTCTCTCTCTCTCTCTCTCTCTCTCTCTCTCTCTATATATATATATATATATATATATATATATATATATATATATATATATATATTTTAATTTTTTAAAATTGATTTTTCACAGAGAGGAAGAGAGAGATAGAGAGCTAGAAACATCAATGAGAGAGAATCATCAACCAGCTGCCTCCTGCACACTCCCCACCAGAGATGTGCCCGCAACCAAGGTCCATGCCCTTGATCGGAATCAAACCTGGGACCTTTCAGTTTGCAGACCGGCGCTCTATCCACTGAGCCAAACTGGTTTCAGCTCTGTTTTTACTCTTGATAGGTAACTCCTATTTGAGATTAGTGCATGAGAAAGAAGTTCCTGCAAAGATACTGCTGAGAAGACCTTTAGATCACCCTCTAACTAAGACCTTAGCTTCCTATTGTTCTCTTTCAGATTACTATGAATGAAGGATCAACTCAGACATTCAAGTTGAGCTTACCTGTGCACAGAAAGAGCACAGACAAGGGTAAAAGGTAAAAGCAGATTTAAATTTTTTCCCACCCAAACCCTTAAGGATCCACTGAGACAGAAGTACATTGTTCTTGTGTAAACACACACACACACAGAATTAAATAAAGTTCCCTTACTTTCTGGTGACCAAAGCTGTGCTTCCTAATATACCATTTTCTTCTTCTTCCAAGTACCTAGCTCAGGTGCATTTCCCAGCCTCTCTCACAGTTACGTGGGCCATGGGAAGTGGGTAGAAATGACATGTGGTATTTTCAGGTTTCCTCTCCAAACCTTTTCTTTCTCAGAGTTCATTTCCTAGTCAGACCTGGTGGCATACTCCACGCTGCTATGAAATGGGGGAATCCTGTAGGAAAGGAGCCTCGGTTTTCTTGCTAACCTCCTGGACTATGGTTGTGCGTGATACACTGCTATTGTATTATGCTGCTGTTCTTTGTGGTTATCTATTACAACAGCCTGTCCTATTACAGAGAATAATTTCAAACAAAATTGTGTAGTTTATATAGTAAATCCTTTGTTGGGTGGGGTAGAGAGAAGCATAGTTTGTTTCTATGTGATATTATAATAATTAGTTTATAATGACCTAAATGTGTGAACATTAAAAAAATCAATTAATATTTTATAAAAAAAATGGAATTGGTTGAATTGATAGGTTATTTTAGTATTATGTGTTAAGTAAAACCTGAGAAATAGGATGAAACTTTATTAATGTCTGTGATAGTAGAGTGGATTTTTCTCTTTTGCAGTTACAATAGAAGATTCATACCTCCCGTATAATCATATGATCATACAGTTGTTTGAAACTCTCATAATGAATAAAAAAGTAAGTATTTTATATTATGCTACTTATACTCACTTGTATTAAGAAGTAGCAATACTTTCATACAGAGGAACTCTTCTTGGCTAATTTGAAGCTTCACAAACTCCTGTGGAATCTGCCACATGGTAAGGCATAATGAATAGAATGATAATTCCTTCATCCGCTGTCTTCCATCATACATAACACCCAGAAGAAAAAGCAACAGGGAAAAAAATTCATACAGGTATATTAGCCAGTTTATGTAATTTATTACAGAATATGAGTAATTACCTTATTTATTATTAAAATAATAATATTTTTACAGAATATGAGTAATTACCTTATTTATTATTAAAATAACTTTTCATAAAGAAACTCAATACTATTTGGAATTTTAAACATCAAAATTTTTTCACAATGCTGAGTTTTTGAGGTTAAGAAATTTTAAAGTTAGAAAATCATAGTATTAATAAATACACATTGAACAAGGTTAATATTTCTTTCTTTTCCATCACAGTTTAGAAGCCTAAACCAAGAAGTTGTAGGAGTTGAAAATGTGGAACTAAGGAATGCTTAGGAAATAATTTATTTACTGATGGATTCTTTCTGTGAAAAAACAAAACAAAACAAACATGAATTTTTGTGTGCAATCCAATAGGAGAAAGGATTTATGTCACAGAAAGTATAGAACAGTTTAGTGTGTGCAGTTCAGAGTATTCTGTATGCACTTGTTACACTGTGAGCTATTCTAGGGGAAATGTATGATGATACAGAAAAAAAAAAAATTAGGGAGAATTAAATAATTGACAAAGACAAATACAAATTTTGAAGGTTGAGGTCATTTTTAAAAACTATTTTCTCAACCATGTACTGTTTTGTAATATTCACATTAGTTGCACGATGCTAACAAGGATAGTGAGAACTAGATTTTGACTCAGAAGAGTGAAGATTAATTGAGACTGACACTCAGATCCTTAGATATGTTAATGCAATTCTTCTGAGCCTCAGTTTCCTGAGCTGTAAAATAATGGATATCAATTTCAAAGGATAATAGAATATAAAATGGATTACAATATACATAAGTTATCTATAAACTGTCAAGATTTATATAAGTTAATGTTATATAGTTCTGGGTCAACATTAAACATTAAAATAGTGAAATAATTTTCATGAAAAGATTCTTATTTAAAGGTTATATGTAGAATGTTAATTACAGAAATTTAAATATAATCAAGCAATTTAGAATATTTATCTTTCAATTAAAACAAAATCCTCAGTATTGTTTTTCCTCTAATGAAAGATGTCTTTACCTTTTGAAGGTAAATCAATACTTTCAAGCAAATTATTTATAATATACTTCATTATCTTCATTAGCACCAAAGAAATTTTAATTTGATAAACATTTAATTTTGTCTTTAAGTATATTTCTTAATGCATTCTTGAAGTTTACAAAAAGTGCACTTCAAACAACTGCTATACATTGAAACAAAAGGAAAACTTTCCAAATATCAAATTAACTGATAAAATGATATAATTATATTAATATTTTCAAGCTAAAACTGATATGCAATAATATCAATCAATATGAGGTAATTCTGAGAAATCTTTCAAGAAACTCTTAGCACACTAAATATATGATTATCTACTGAAATGTAATTTTCAAGATTATCCTACATACATACGTATGTTAATAAGAACTACAAAAGTCAAGTTACTACTTACTCATTTATTATTAGATCAGGTGCAAAATACAACATCTTTCCACTGACATGTTTGTAGGATCTCCACCCTAGTGCAAACACCATTAAGCTCATCCAAGAATACTGGATGAGAGTTATCTGGTCATCAATATGTAAGTTTCTAAAACCTACAAAACAAATTAAAGAACAAAATGATCACAAAATCACTTGTGCTAAAAGTGTTAAAATACATAGAAATTTTAAAATAAATGTCAGTAGAATAATAAAATATTTTCAATCTTAACACATTGTACATTAAAAATCAGCAATTTTGGAAAGCATTAAAAAATAGTCACTGTGACTTAGCATTCTGGGAATTAGCTAATTGAATCAATTATCCACCACTCACTCATTTAAAACTCATTTATTGAGAACTATTTATGTACTGGTCATTAAAATGCTGGGGTCACATGGGTGGGTAATACAAAAATCCTTGCCCATAAAGGAATCTCATAAGTCAACAGGAGAAACAAGCTCACAGTACAATGATAGAAAAGATTAAGAGAGTACACCAGGCAACTGGAAGATCAGGAAAAATGCACTATAAAAAAAGAGATAATTTCCAGGCAGAATATAATCAGTTTGTTGAGGAAGCTCAATTCATTAAGACATAACCATAAACTGGTAGGAGTAGAGAGGACAGAGTGCATAAAAGAAATATTTAAAAAGTAAAATCAAAGAAATTTTGCAAATGATTATATGTAGGTAAGAGGAGAAAGTTGCAAATAGATTTTCCATTATTTTACATGAATAATAGATGATGGTAACAACATTAATATGATAAAATAAAGAAGGAGAAATAGGCTAGAGGATAAGTAGTAAGTTTGGATATATTTGAGGGAACTCTGGAATATCCAGATAGTAGTTGGACATGTAAATTAGAATAATGGAGAAATATTGAGCTAGAAATATAAATTTAGTAATTATTTGTAAATCTAGTAATAATTTGGAGAGTCTTCCTTTTGTTTCAATGTATAGCTGTTGTTTGAATTGCAATTTTTTTAAACTTTAAGAATGCATTTTAATGTAGCTAAAACAATGAGAGTGGAGGAAATATTTTATTATAAGTACTAAGAAAAATTAATGTCTTAAAACATCAATCACTTTCCACCGAGCTATTTAATAAATTACATATTCCCCCGTGAATCCATTAAGTACACCCACAAGTGATCAATTTAAAAAACAAAACCAGCCCTAACCGGTTTGGCTCAGTGGATAGAGCATTGGCCTGTGGACTCAAGGGTCCCAGGTTCAATTTTGGTCAGGGGCATGTACCTTAGTTGCAGGCACATACCTAGTAGGGAGTGTGCAGGAGGCAGCTGATCGATGTTTCTCTCTCATTGATGTTTCTAACTCTCTATCCCTCTCCCTTCCTCTCTGTAAAAAATCAAACTAAAACAAAAAACCAATGCAAGCTTAATTTCTTAAATCTCAAGGGCCAAAGACATTTCCTGATTCTGTTAATCATTTCAAGGTCAGTGGCAGAAAAGGTTATCGTCTCTCCATGTATTTCACATAGTCCCATCTTCATGTGAATGGTAGAAATGTATACATTTCATATATATGTTACATATCAACTAATATGTATTTGTCAAGTATATGTATCCAGAATATATTTCACTTGTTATTAGAGATATATAAGATTATTATTTCACATATACAAAAAATGGCAGACTCATAGTAAATTAGGTTCAATTAATCAGATGTACTAAAGATTAGCGTTTATCGCTATCTTCCTTAATATATTTTTACTATCTGTACCTTTCTTAATCAATACTATAACTTTTTATAAAAAGCATTATACAAAATTAAATATTTGGCATACTATGCTTTATATTGTTTATTCTAGGGCTTACGTTAATTTATGAGCAGTTTTTAAAATGTGATAAAATTACATAAGTTATTTCATTTGTTCTTTAAAAAAACAGATTTGATTTATACTTCCATATTTGTATCTATTTTATCCTTTTTTTTACAATTTGTTTTGCATCCTGGGATTATTAAGGACTAGAAATTATGAAACACATAATATAAAAGACAAGTCTTGCTAAAATAACTTAACTTATGAAATTACCAGTATTTATGGCAGAAAGTATACTCTTTCCATTTAACAAAATGAAATCCAACTCGGAAAATAGCTTTACTTATTCAGTCTTTTAGGGAGCTTATCTGTGATAAATGTACAAGGTTAAATTGACTTGAACATGCCTGGTCCAGAAGTGCAATTTTTCTCCAATTAACTGTAATATTCATTATTTCATACTGAAACAAAGAAGGAACACTGAGATCAAATTCCCACTGATGATAATGATCAGATAAACTTGGTACATTTCAGATGCTGGTCAAAATGGAAACCTTCACATAGAGAGTGATGGATGGCCCCTAATTGTGTTTAACAAGTAAAGAAAAATACCCTCTCTTTTTACGTGACTTGACCTGATAATTTTGACAAAAGCCCTGTTACAAACTGTGCAATCCTTACTGCTTAAAAAAATTTAAAAAGAGTACAGTGAAGACGGCTTGTATGACTGTCTAGGTTCTCCTATCTTCGAGAGTTCTCATAAAATATATAGGTTTTGCTTCTGCAGAAACTGCCATGCATCGAAACATTAAATCTACAACAAAGGCAGAGCATTATATACCTCAACAGCTTCTGACACAAAGTATGATCTTTGAGGAGTACAATAAAACTTTAGCACAATAAGTACAATCACTAATATATATTTGATGATTTATTAAGATAAGAATAAAGACTTGATGTTTAGTGGTCTAAGGCAGCATAGTTCTTTTCATATCAAAGCCATCATTTAAATTTCTATCATTTACCTATTTGGGATGAAGCATTATACTTGAAACTAGGCATAAAGATCGGAAAGATGCTGTCTCTGTCTTTAACACTGGGGAGACAGACAGAAAAGAGGGACATAATTATAACTCAGAGTAACAGTGGTGTGAATGACAAAGGCAAGGGTGAAGCAGGAGAGCAAGGGGCCTTTGATCGAGTCTGGGAAGGCCCAGGGAAATTCTAGGGGAAACAACTAGAATTCTGAAGGCAAATGAGGGACCAGCCAATGGAAGATGTAGAAGAGAAGGGCCTCCAGGTAGGAAGAACAATATGGACAAAGAAAGCAGAAAATTGAGCAAAGAGTATTGTGGGAACTGAATCTTAAGAGTTTGAAGAGGAAGAGTGGGAGATAACATTGCAAATTCAGGAGCCAGATCACAGAAGGCCTTGGATGACAAGGCAAAGAATTTTGGATTTTGTTCTGAAAAAGAAAGGGAATAACATAACTCATTATAATTGTTTTAGAAAGATGGTTTTGAAGGCAGAAGAGAGGGCTGTTTGGGGACAGTGTGAAACTGTCATCATAAGCTGGGTAGGGGGAAGGGAGGATACAGCAGAAATCTAGGGAAAAATTATGAGCACCTCCACTGCTAAGTCAGAGCAGTAGCGGTGGAGCTTGTATAATGAATCATATATTTAATAAGTAGAGATAACAGGATCTGATAACTCATTGGACAGGAGATGATAAAGAAAAGTGAGCAGAGGACTACACCCAAGAGTCCATCCCAGATGTTATTCGAAGATATAGAAAATGGTTTTGGTTTTATGGAATAGGTTTATGCTCTCTTGGAAGTTCATCCAGGTGGGAATGTGTAACAAGCAGTTGATATGCATGGTCCAATAAGTTCAGCAGAGGGTCTGGGTTGATACTATGCATTTAGGAGTCATCAGAATATAATGGTTGCTGAGGACAGGCTATGAATGAGTTCATTCAGACAGTAGAGAGTGAGAAACTAATGCCATATTTATGGCATGAGCAGAAGAACAAATCTACAAAGGAAACAGAAAATATGTACATTGAGAGAAGCTTATCTACCTGGGAGGGAAGCAATGAATGAGAAGGGAAGAGTTTAAGCAAGAAATGGTTTTGTCAGTGGCCCCAGAGGCATGTGAAACACTGTAATGACTGATGGTATTTATTTGATTTGGTAAATAATTTCAGTGGAATAAGAGGTTAGAAAAACCATTTTTGAAAGTATTATTAAAGCCTACCTTTACTCCTAGTAGGTTAATCTCATTTCTTTCCCATCACTTTTTTGGGGAAGTAATTTGATTTATTTATAAAGAAAAAAAAATCTTTTTTTACATAGGCAGCAGCTGTCACTGACTCAAAAGCTATTTTGGCATGCTTCAAAGGCAGAAAGTGATTCAGAGTCCTGCTACTGATGACTGCAAGAAGTCTGGCTGAGACCAAGAAGTATTTATTTAAAAATGCAATGTTTATGACAAATAATTGACCTAAGTAGATTGTTTTTTTTTCACCAAATAAAAAGAAGAATCAAGACAATATTTTCCCAAAACCTCTCTGTCACATCACCTTTGCTATAATAGATTGATATAGTGAGGGTGGGGAACTTTTTCTGCCAAGGGCCATTAACATCATTCATGGGCCATATAAAATTATCAACTAAAAAATTAGCCTGCTATGTTTAGTCAAACCTTTAATTAACTCACCCCTAATGCCTTGGCAGGGCCAGACCAAATGATTTTGGGAACCTTATATGGCCCTTAGGCCAATGTTCCCCACCCCTGATATACAGGAGAAGATTATTGAAATGTGAAACTGTTTTGGGGAATAAGGACTTATTAATTTAACTAATGGATCGGTGCACAAAATTCTTGCACGAGGGTGTGTGTTTGTGTGTGTGTGGGGTCTCTCAACCTGGCCTGCACCCTCCCCTCTCAATTCGGGACCTCTCAGGGGATGTCCGACTGCTAGTTTAGGCCCAATCTCAGAGGCCTAATCTGGCAGTTGGACATTCCTCTCGCAATCCAAGACCTCTGGCTCCTAACCGACTGCCTGCCTGCCTGCCTGCCTGCCTGATTTACCCCTAACCCCTCTGCCTGTCTGCCTGATGCCACTAACTGCTCACCTGCTTGCCTGATTGCCTCAGCCACTCTGCCTGCCTGCCTGATCACCCCTAACTGCCTCTGCCTAGGTCCCTGCAGCTGTGGCTTCATCCGAAATGATGTCTGGAAATTGGTTTGGCTGTCTGTTCTAATAGCATATATGCTTTTATGATTATAAATTTCCAAAGCCTACCCTGACTTGTCAGATTCTAC